CTTGTCACAATCGACTTTTCTTCAAGAAAACAATTCACTTGGCCGAGTTTTCTCAGTGCAACTGCACTTATTCAGAGAATCCGAGTAATGGTACTCATTGGTATTCATTTTATAATGTAGCACTATGCCACATTGAATATTGTGACCAAAGAGTAGACGCCTTTCCTAGTTCCTCAAATTAATTCAAAAAAGTACACTGGCCTAAAAAGATATCATTTCTGTATTTTTTTAGATTCCATAAGTTCTTCGTACCAATATGCCAATTCATTCTCTTTTCTCGAAATTTTCGGAAACAAATCCAACTTCCGCAGCTTTTTCCATCATCTCTGTCTCTGGCGGTGTATTTATCAAAATCGTCACATCTTGGTATATATACATCATATTATTTATTATGAATTGTTGGAACAATATTTGATGGAAAATGCGATTTCTATCAAGAGCACTAATGAGAACTACCCTAAAGAATTTAGAGAACTCCTTCTGACAGTTGTGACAACTATTCAAAGCTGAGCATCAGCAGCCAAGTTTTGGTCGATTTTTGTTGATTCTCCATGGAAATGTATGTGGTGGTGGCAAAGTGCCGTTTAAAAAAAATATTTCTCACAGTATGGGTAATACATGGTTCTGAAACTGAGTGAGCTATGAGGAATGCGCTAAAAAAATATTGAAAATATACCTCACATTCAGAAAACTTCATAGTTGGGAATGAAATAACTCCAACATTCTAGATCAAAATATAACCCGAAATGCCTTGGTCAACTTCAGTTTTTGCACACCTCTTAACATCAGATTTTCAAACCCACACTCGATCACAACTCAATATCAGAACAAACGAAGGGATTGCACGACGCACGAGGTGACATACCGACTGAACCGACTCAATTATCATTCTGATGACTGTCACGAGGTGCATACGAGCTATGACGCGGTGAAGCCAATCTGCCCTTGTTCGTTGGTACTCGAGAAACATTGTCTATAAGAGTAATTCCATCACAAGTTTCGATAATATGATTGATATTTACTCGTCTACGTTAATTATCATAGGTTCATGCATTATTGTCATTACAAGAAATCGAATGGAGTTAATTGATATACTCTCAAAAAACGTGTTTAGTTGTAGCAACAAGTCGTTGGCGATATTTTCATACGTAACTCAAGTGATAGTGAATATGATTAGAAATCAAATAACAGTCATCAACTCAGACATATCAGGACAAGTTAATGAGTAATGTTTCCTCAGTATAATGAAACTTTAAGAAGATGTAGTTCTTTCACCCATATCATTTACTCATCAAGGAATATTCTTCAAAAGACTCAAAGAACCTCAGGCCTCATCTTCGACGTTGGTCAGTAATTCAACTATACCTTTATAGGTTCTGTGAAAATGCTCTCACACTGGGACTGATTTTAAAATGTGACCAATGAAGTGATGAGAATATTCTTCGATACAGATATCCTACTTATCCATAATACCTCTCACAAAATGAATATAATGTTGAAACGCATTTTTTTTATTTCCACTGTCTATTTCAGGAATATACTCAGACACACATTCCATAATATAATAATATAAAAGTAATCTGAATCTGATATACAGTGCTCTCGTATAAAAGTATCAAATGAAGTAATTTGTAGGTAAGTATACTTTCCATTTCTGATGAACTTTCTGAAGAAGGTCGCCTTTCAATCTCATTTTTCTCCATTCGAAAAAAGATTGTTTCGTTCCGAGAGAATCCCCAGCAATGGATAGTTCTGCAAGAAAATACTTTATTCAGTACTTCACGAAAGCAATGTATACTAAATACTTCTCAAAGTGCATAACACACTCAACATTTGGTTATATTCATACGATTCATGAATTATATACAACAAGTGGATTAGATCTCTGTTTGAATACCTATAGTACTCATTCATCTGATCTTACTAAAAGAACAGCAATTTCAGGTTGATCAGAGATATCTTTTTTACCTTGGGCACAGTATGAATAGCTTAACAGAAAGTGCAAAAGTTATCGATGGATGCATAGGTCATCGTCAGTGGCTGATATCGAGGAAGTTTGACAAGTTTCTGTAAACAAATATTCTGTGTTACTAGAACGATACTTTCATAAGTGCCACAAGCAACTATTGGATGTCTTGGAGAATTCAGGAGTGAGAGGAGTACCATTGGATTTTTTCATTGATTATTTGAAAGATAGGCAACAACAAGTCAAAGTAAAAAATAGTCACAGCTCCTACAGAACTATAAAATATGGTGTACCGCAAGGTACAGTATAAGGACCTATATTATTTTCTTTGTACATCAACAATTTACTACTGCTGAGATCTAGTGGAAAAATCATCAGCTTCGCTGACGATACGGCAATAATCTACTCCTCAAATACATGGAACGACCTCAAAATTAAAGCAGAAACAGACCTTTTGGAAATTATCAACTGGTTCAGACATAAAAAATTGACAGTGAATTATGAAAAAACTTTTTTCGTCCTTTCCACTAGTTATGCAAATGCACTGCCAAACTCTACATCTCTAAACATTACTGAAGGACCCAATGATAATATTAAAATAAAATCGAGCCATCAAATCAAGTACCTAGGAGTAACAGTTGATTCACACCTAAGATGGAATATTCATGTAGATAATGTTACACGAGTTTTGAGAATGTTACTTTATAAGTTCAAATATTCAAAAAACATTTTGGATATCCCTCACCTTAGGACTTTATATTATGCTCTGGTGGAATGAAGATTACAATATGCAATTCTTGCATGGGGTACTGCATCCAAATGTCATCTGAAAAAATAGTTGTGTTGCAAAAACGAATCCTGGAAATAATTTATAACAAAAGATCAACTTACCCATCCGATAAGCTTTTCCAGGAGACTAACATTTCCGATATCAGAAAATTATACGCCTTAAATGTGATTATATTTATTTATAAGAATAAACATATCCTTCCAAATATATCACACAATCACTTCACAAGAAATAAAAGCAAAAAATTTGCGAAATTGTGTTATGCTAGAAAATCGATAGGACAGAGATCATTCATGTTTCTTGCTGTGAAGATTTTTAATTCCTTACCAGAAATGTATGAATTATATGTTTATCATATCAACTCTGACGCTCTATTCAAATCCAAAATAAAGTATTTTCTATACCTCACTGATAGGAATATAATTAACAACCTCGTGGAGAATTGAATTCATAATATAAGTCATTCTATTACTCAAATACCTATACATATCATGAACCTATATTGCTTATTTTCACTATTACTATGAATCTTAGATTTCAGCTTATTAGTATACAATATGATAGCAAGTACTTGTCTACTATGCTCATTTTCGTACAAGAATTTTTATTATATATACATATATATATTTTTTAATGTTGAGTATTCTCTCTTCTGCATATATTTATATATTTATCTTTGAAATATTGATTAATGAAATGAGAAAATGAATACGTCCATGCGCAACCGTAAACGGTCTTAAATGGACGGTATTTGTTTATTTGCTCACAACAACATGCCATGATTCTACTTATATGCCTATATGTAATTTGATGAAATGCAAAGAAACATTATTATTATTATTATTATTATAAAAAATATTCATCTCAGGAACAGTTGAAAATATTATCAACATCATCATAAATTTACATTTATGTAAAGTGACATCACAGCTGTCTGAAGGTACAAAAACTGGATGCTTGAAAAAGGGTTACATAAATACTACTGAAAACCGTCGCAGTGAATTTCAGGTACAAAGAAAAGTTTTTCGTGTTTCCGTGAAATGGACGGGGCGCGGTCACATTATTTCGAAAGTAGGGCAACGCTGGGAATACGAATGTTCAAGTCGCCACCTTCGGGAATATTTTAAAGAGACCTGGACTACTTCGGAGGAATTAGCAGCTTGAGGCAGTTGGAACAAAAATGAAAACAAACCTATGACGAGTACGTTGGGCAACTTCACAATCGATATCATTTCGGATAATGAGGAAAACCCACTTGTGAAACGATTCTAATTGGATTGAAAAAGTATCCACTGGAATAGTTGTTATACTTAGCATCAAATTCTTTGCGATACTTCATATTATTGGTACATTATATGGGTATTACAAAATATTCTTCTGAGTTAACAAGATCTATACCGGGTTATTCAAATTCGACGGCCATCATTGGGATCTCAGAAACGATGGAGATACGGAGATAATTGATTCAGAACAAAGTTGTGACTAAGAATATGTCGTCGAGGCAATTTTTTTATCCCGAGTATTTTCGGGGAACTAGAATTTTGATAATTTTTTTTTTCTGACGATATTTGTTGAAGAATATCAGAATTGAGAAAACATTTACATCCTCGCTTCCCATTCACTATACGATTGGCTTATTATTGCTGATGAGAATCCAATATGATGCCTCAAAAAAAATGAAGTTGTTGATCGTGTATAGCAGAAAAAAATGCACGAAGAAAGAAATCGAATAACGGGTGATTGAAATTGAATAACCTTCATAAAACAATTTGATTCAATGGAAAACAGCCTCGCCTTGTAGCAATCCAATTCATTTTGCTATAAGAACTCAATAACATTCACAAGGTCCCTGGAAATTGACGCTGAAGTCATATCAACAGGGTACGGACAGATCATAGCTGCATTCTTTTTCAATGATCTAGAGACTTAAGTTTTCCCAGGTAGCACATGGCGACTATATGACGTCTAAAAGACGGCATCACATTCGGCCAAAAGACGTCTTTAATACTATCCAAACTGACGTCTGAATGACGTAAGTAAGTCACAGCTAAATGACGTCACTTTTAAGGTCTTTTGGACGTCAATGCGGTGTTCGATTATGACTTGATACTGACGTTGTGGACTAGTTTAAGACGTCATAGCGACGTCTATTTTTCGAAAAGTAGACGTTAAAGCGACGTCTATTTTTTGAAAAATGGACATCATAGCGACGTATGTGTTTTGTTTTGTAATTAGAAACACCTAGAATTTTCAAATGATTTATTCAAAACACTTCATAAATGTACAAATTTAAATTATGAAATGAAACAGTTTGCCTGGTTATCAATTCATGACAAATATAAATTTGTGCTATCAGAGAAAAATGATAGATACAAGATTTCAGACGCTGCACGCTGTATGAAGCAAAGGGAGGGATATATAACTATTCTTATTTATAGGAAAAACCATACATTTCGTCATTGACTGAGAAATTTCACAAGATTGTAATCCTGACAAATTAGTATTACTAACAACATAAATATTCAAATCTCTAGAATCTATTGGGTAAGTATACAATGATTCATAATGGGGCAAAAAATGTTTTCCAATCATGAATAGTTTTTCATCTAGAGTGCTACATATATTATGTATTTCTACAACTATACCTTCTTCTGTCATGTAGTAAGCATCTGCACATGAATAGGATTTGCTTGTGAAAGTTACATTCCTGTAGACAATTTTTTTGAATTGCTTCGCATGAATCATTTCTATCATGGGACCACTATCATGTTCCCCATATAATTTTGTATCAAAATGTGGTTTCACATAGATGAAATTTCTTTCACTCAATCTTCGATAAATTTGTTGTAAAGGTTTCAATGGAGATCTAAAAAAACTCTTGATAAGACCTAGAAAGTTTTCAAATGGAAAAGCTGAAAATGAATCCAAAGTACCATACAGAGCAGCCTCTTTAGCCAAATGGCATAATATATGTGTATTATATACATAAAATTCTAAGCCATATATAAATTCACAATGTCTCACAAAAGAATTCAATAAAATGTTAGCATTCTCAGTACCAAAATTTGATAAATGCTTTGATGAAGTTAAAAGTGAAATGCCAACATGCAATAATAAAAAATGTTCAAATACTGATGTCTCCACATTACCCTTAAGAACGAATGGACCAAAATACAATAAAAAGTTACGAAACTCTGTAGCTTTCCAATAAGATAATTCTGATAAACTCCTGGGCTTTCGATTGAATTCTGAAGGAACAAAAGATCTTAGAAACAACATGTTTTCACTCAATTTCTCAATTTGTAAACGTTTCAATCTAATATGTAGCCCACCTGACATCCATGTTACCAAAAGTTTTTTTGTAACACCTAAACAAACAGCATGCATGTAATCGATAGTGAATGATGAGACAAGGCCTATGTTTAATTCAAGTAATGGTGACTTTTCTCTGTGATGTTCATCGTCCAACTCCAAGATGAACTGTTCATCAGTTCGAAGGGTACTTGTTGTTCCCTTCAGAATGACTTTTCCCTGTCTATGGTAGTAATCACCTGATTCCCAACACTTGTCACAGGAAGAATAGCCACCATGTGACTTTATGCCCTTCAAATAAGCTTTAGCAGGCGAGTCGCAAATAAAGTTTAATATTTCAACAAAATATATTCTGGTATGCAATACAAAACCAGTTAGTTTCAAATGATTAACTTCTTTGATGGAATCTTCTAGAAAAACATTGAGTGGACATGGCTTTGATTTGCCACAAAATATACCTATAGCAAATGGGAAACTCTCAAAGTTCCTTACCATACCTAAAATTGGCCAGAACTGTAAATTTGTACTAGAAAACAATGGTAATCCATCAATATTAATGCTGAGTTTCAATTTGTTATCTGAACAAGAAGAGGGTATAATTTTTTTTAAAACATTTTCAATTCCAAAGTGACAATATTCGCCGTTATCTAATTTTTTTAAATCTATATCCCTAGGAGTTTTTAGTAATGTTCTACTATCCAATGGAAGTTGAGGATGGAAAGGAGCAAGAATTTTTAAGAGACTTGTAACAGAACTGTGGGTAACTTTTGTATTGATAGCCCACTGCCTTAGTGACTGTGGTTCCAAATCTGTAGTACTATTTGAGCAACTGTTACATTCTGGTATAACCGATAAACATTGGGAAGAATTGATTGGCGGAGGAGGATCCTCCTCATTAGATGTTCCAGGTTGGTTAAATATATCTGATTCTAATATGATTTCTGATTGTACAAATTCTGAACTACTATCTGTCGCAGGATATAAATAATGATGGTGACTATCTACATACTGCTGATCATGTTTTGTTATTTCAGTGGCATTTTCACTTACAACATCAATGTTCATTAAACTATTCAATATCTTCTCATTTTCTCTAGCAACTCGTCTATAAAATTGTCTCTTCCCCACATTCGCCTCTACATGTTTTCTTTTATACATGATCAAAAATTCAATTCAAAGCTATTCATGGAAGGTAAAACTTTCTAAAGTGAATAAAATGAACTATAGATACAAGTACCTACCAAGTACCTATATGAATATTTGGGACCCAAAAATTGAATTTCTAGTTTTGAAACAATGGCTACACAAAATATTACCTATTCCTAATACAAAAGTCCTTTATAGACATTGAGGTTCTGGAATTGAACTCAACAAAATGAATACTATCAGCATATTTTAGAGCTTAACAGGTACTTCAGTGCCTAAAATGAATAAATTCCTCTGAATCAGTTTTTTCTTGATTTCAGCCTGTCTGGTGCATGTTTGAACCACAATTTGATGATGTCTTCAACATCACTAATGGTGACATTATCAGACTGAACTGCTCCTTGAAAAGTGCAATATATTAGTGACAGTTCTAAATTTTTTATCAAGATGAAAGATTTTGTTAATGACACCTCATTCGAATCAATACAACAGCACTGCAGAGAAGTATGCTGCACTGTCAATAGTTAAGTATATTATGAGTAGCCTGAATAGCAAAATTTTGTTACTTACTTATCAAAGCTTTATTGATTTTCAACTCATAGAAGGGTTCTTTGGAACGTTTTCCATAATAACTGAAGAATGCAGCTAGTTCATCTGTCAGCAACGCCCTCAGTATCTTATGAATCTTCAACTTGATATTTTTCCCTCCCAGAGAGTGTAAATGAGTAACCTGAAAATGAGACAGTTCTCAATTATAACATTTAGGTACTTTAAAACTTCTAAGATGAACTAATTCAGCAATTGAAACTGTTACAAATATCTATGGATGATATATTGCCACTGAATATCCTCTATTGAAAGAACTTTTCTAACTGTACAGGGTGATATTTTATATTTTACTTAATAGCTATCTCAGGTAATATCAGTCTCACAGGTACATTCAAATAGGCAATAAGGAGGAATTTTTAATGGGCATTCAGAATTTAGTAGTAGGGAATGCAAAAAATGCATCACTAACCTAGAAATTTTACATAAACTGATAAATTTTTTTAAAGGAACACCCCCTATTTTATTTTCCTAAACGGTAGAGCTCTTTTTTCTGATTTCAATTATATATACTTTATTGAGGTTGTTTTCCGTCAGTTTTCGAAAAATATAGATTCTGAATCAGCTGTAGAACTTTTTGTGTTCTACAGCTGCCTTAGATTTATACCAAGAATCTATTTTTTTCACAAACTGAAAAGGATAACCTCAAAGTAAATATATTTTAAATCAGAAGAAAGAGTTCTACCGTTTGGGAAAATAAAATACAATAAAATGCAAAAAATAAAAGTTTATAAAACATTTGTAGGTTTATGATTCATTTTTGCACTTCCTAGTACTGAATCCTACATGCTCATATAAAATGCTCCATATTCGTCCAATTAAACGTTTTTGTAAATCCAACACTAACTATTGAGTAAAATATATAAACAACACCCTGTACAGCAATCGATTGCACAAATTGATATAAAATCTGGGAATTTTCACATGTATTTTCACCTAAGCTGTAAAGAAGCAAAACTTCAACAATTCCTATTGCTGACAAAATTTCAGAAATTTTATGATGAATGAATTATTTACCAGAAGGTTGAAGTTCTCTGTCTTGCTGATGAATTCTTCAAAAATCTTCAAATCATCTGATTTGGTTAAAGGTATCTGTACTGGAAATAAATCTCTTACACTAATTTGTGTCTGTCGGAGCTCCTCTACCAGATAGAGAATTCTGAACCTCATCCAATTTACCCAAGATCAAATTGTTCTGCTCTTTTATCTGACCTAGCAATGAAATGAATGTCTTGGTAGCTGAAACAATATCATCATAGTCAATCTTTTTGCCTACAAGAATAAGAAATTCTCCTGTTCAAAACTTATTTGATTTCAGGTGGTGGAATAGAATAGAATATAGGTTTATTATGATTGACAAGAATTCTTGTGTACAATTCATCAAGATTAGAGCTAAAATACATACAATATACTAATAGTGATAATAATGTGAGTGGTGATACCTTGTCCTATTTTATGAAGAGAAAATATGTTCTAGCAACATGTGTTCCATCTTGCCTAGCTCTCCAGTAACAGGGTGTCAAAGTTTGAATACAATATCTGTTCTTTATCGAATTCTCTACTGTAATTGTGATAAATCATGTTGTATTTGTTGGAATCAGCTTCTTTTAATGTGTTCAGATTTGAAATATCAACTCCAGTTGTATCATATAAATTCATAGGTTGCCTGATTGATATTTATGATAGAAACCATTGTAGGCACTATTATTTTCTTTTCTATAATAGAATAAGTTTAAATAATTGAAAATTCAACTGTCTTGTACCATAAAAAAATCTTTGTATCTCTCTTAGTTCTTGAGAAAAAATGAAAACATTACTTGCATGCCCCTCAGTCATGACTAAAAACCTAAAAGTACTTGAATTTTCCAAGTACTGATAGATAGATAGTTGTGATTGATAGTAGGTACCCAAATTAACAGGATAATATAATTCTGGATGAAAAAGTTGATTTTTTTTATATATCTCAGAAACTACCTACCATTTACTACACTTTATATTTTATTCACATATGCTATGTTTTGTTCTACAATTCGATTCATGCAAAGCAATTCTTTTTATACGAAATATGTATTCAAAATTTTTTGTGATTTCTGAGATATTTAAAAAAAAACTTCTTCATCCAGTTTTTCTCATCCTGTAAATTTGAAAAGCACAAATTCTAGAAAATTAATTTTGTATCAGCTTTGATGCTATTGAAATTTCACAAGAATTGTTTTTTTATCAAAAAGTAAGTGATGACAAAAGAAAGTTGTATTATTCATTGTGCCATCTGACCTAGAAACAGAAACAGTGGTGTACAATGATTCTAAACATAATTTTCAATCAGGCAACCTACGAGATACCTCTGGAATTATTATTTCAAATCTGGACACATTAAAAGATGCCAATAAATGCCAACAAAAACTCCGCAAGTTATCACAATTAATTTTTTTCATAAAATTTGGCAAGGTAACACCCCCTGGAATTAAAGACATATCTGTATAAGCTAACTTCTCATACCTGAATCTGAGAATGCGCTGCTCACTTGAGATGGGCAATCTGATGAATCTCTGGATTGTTTGTTCAAAGTTGACTGCTGTATTGTCTTTGTAATAAGAGTCCCCTTTTGATTACTCGAGTGCTGAACTGCTGGGTGCAGTGTTTGTTCGGGAGTATGCTTGCTTCCAGAATTTTGCAGTTGTCTTGTTTCAATGAAACCTAAATAAGAGTGGTCGTGTTGATTGTGGTATTTCATTTCTGGACACTAGTTACAGCTACATACCTGAAAGCTTTTTAATTTTGATTTGAGGTGGTCTAGGATACTGACTCTCTCCCTCACTCTCACTGCTGTCTATAATTTTTCTTACATATTTCCTGGATTGCCTGGTTGGTGCCTCTTTTTCTAATAAGTCTACATCAGTATCTGCCAAGTCACTTGTAATCTCAGCCTCTTTTTCTTTTTTGAAGGCTTTTTCTAGTTCATCTAAAACAAAACTGTGAGATAGTCTGTTTGCTATAAATTCAGAAAAAGGTATCTCAATTTTTTTTCCAGAGTATTACTATTTTGTACAAGAGTAGTTAATACATGAGGTGTTTTTATGTTAAAATACAATGTCTACCTGAAATAATCGAATAATTATTTCAGCAAATATTTTTATGTATTTTGTTATTGCCTCAAATAGGCCCTAGTAGAATTGATATACCTATAAAATATATGCTTGAGATAAAACCGCGAAAAGCAAACACTGCAGAAAAACTTCGAAAGGCAAGCTCTGCATAAAAAACGATAGAAATTCACCATGTTCTACGAAATTGACTAATATTCTTCACTAAATCAACTTACATAGGTAATCAGCTTCTAATAGTTAGTAATAGAATGATTATACTCACCGGTTTGATAGAATATTCTGTTTATGCCATAGAGCTTCCAACTCTCAGTATCGATGGCTTCTTCACCACCACACAGGGCACGCTTGTAATTTCTAGTGTCTTTAAATGGCGGCCAAAACACTTCCGTTTTCATCGGGGTCAACCACGATTCGTGGACAACAGCCACGCTGTTGTTTCCACTATCGTCAAATTGAATTACCGAATACATGTTGAACAACAACAAAACAATCATAAAAAATATCCTGATTCAATCAAAACCACTTAAAAAAAACACCATGAGGAACCATGATATTGATGCTCACTTCTTCTCGTGAATCAAACTATCAAACCGGCGAAACTATCACCAGGCACCACGAACGAAACGAAACACAACAATGATAAATAAGATTCCAAATTCCAATGAGATGACGTGATCGCGTGCTTGGGCGATTAGGCGATGGCCACCTACCGGGTACAGTGTTGCCAACTATCACAAACACTAACTGGAAAATATAAACAGAGATAAGTCATAAAGTCACCCACAGAACCACTTCATGGGGAAAAGTGAATGACATTGATGTCCTATTCTGTTATTCTTCTGTGAGTTCCGTGTGGCGACGCTATAGAAATTGGGGGTTATCTATCATCTGCATGATATATGATGATAACTATTGATCTATTCCATAGGGAAAAGGAATTCATTATGGCCACAATTAATCCAGTTCTTTTGTGGCCGATGTTAGTGATGTTCATTCCATAACACATTATTGAGGCGAAAAAATATCGTCACTACATATGAATAGACAGACATTGACAGTTGGAATCACAGCTGACATGATTCGATCGTCACCCCCAAAACAGGCTACTGCTATCCGCTTCATTCTTTCCGATTACCTCTGCCATTTATTATCCATGTCGAATCGATTATCGTTCTAGAATATTTTCAGAATAATAGAACTACGTAAGAATTGTAAAGTCGGCAACATTGTAACGAGGTACAAACGGCTTGGTTCGGTTCGATTCATGTTCGGCTATTTCCGTGCTGACGCGACTTGTGCCGCCAAAACAAGAAATGATGTGATTGGTGGCATTTCGTAGACACCAAATTCAAATAATGAAATGACAACATTTTTCGTTGGAAGAGATTATTTTTTATTTATCATTATTTGAATTGGATGACAGACTTTTTTGATATTTCAGTATGAAACCACTATGAAACAACTTATTTAGGAAAGTGTATTTCACGGGTTCAGAAGACCACATATTGACGTCCATAAGACGTCCGAAAGTTGCTGTCCACGTGACGTCAGAAAAACGACGTCTTTTTGACGTCATGATTTGGTCAACTGACGAACTGGACCAAAAATGACTAAAAATAGCGGTCCTATAGACGTCATTTTCGTCAGTGTGGCTACCTGGGTTGTCTACTGGCATTCCTCACATTGCTGTCACGTCACATCCATGGGCGCTACAGAAAATCATTCTAAATTTTGAAAATAGATATGTAAACTGTACAGGGTATTCACTTGTTGATTACTTGCCAAAGAATTTTGTAATTAGGATCCGATTCTATTCGAAATTGAAAGATATCTGGGGTTTTCCGGGGTTGGAGATAATGATTGTTTCGTCAAACTAGGAAAATTTAGGATGACGGATCCAATATATGACGAAAGAAATTTCTAATTATGATCTGATCTTGATATCTGAGGGTTTTCAAGGTCGAACTTTATGATTTTTTGTAAAAATTGTAGAATTCGAGATAGCGGATCCAATATGACGAACGAAATTTGTAATAATGATCCGATTCTATTAAAAATCAAAATTGGTATTTCCGGTGTCAGAGATTCAAATTATTTCGTTAGAATTGGAAGATTCAAGATGGCGGATCCAATATGGTGGATGAGTTTTGTAATGAAGATCCAATTCGATTCAAAATTGGTATCTGGAGGTTTTCGGGGTAGGAGATGATAATTGTTACTTTAAAATTGGAAAATTCATGATGACGGATCCAATATGATGAAAGACATTAGTTCATATGATAATTACTCTACCACAAATAGAAATTATGAAGGATGCAAAAGTGAAAATAACCTGCCTATAAGTCATACTGCGTATACTTACTTCTTTGTTACTTTCATCAATGAATAATACTTTTTATTCAAGGGAGACAAAAAAGTCAGTATATTTTATTATTCATTTTCCTACATATTTTACGTATCACTTTCCATCAGCCTACTTTACGTCCTAGACGAAGTTTTATACATATTGTGATATTAGTAACTCCGTGTTGGATTTCCGAAAATATATTTAGCACACATGACATGAGTACAGTAGTTTAGATACCCACATCGAGGTCTCCACCATTTCTCAATAATGTGGCTCTGCTAATTCAGCTCATAGATGAACTACTGCTCAGCTTGAAATCAGAATTCATTCAGTAAATTCAGTCAACCCTGGTATACAGTTTGAGAACAGTCTCTTTCAGTGAAATGTTTCATGAGCTTTCAGTAGGTACAATTTTAATGTTTCCTACCTCGCAAAGATTATGCTGGAGGAGTAAGCTCTAAACTAGAGGATTGGTATAGTTGAATCAGGAATTCGATATGGAAATTACGTATGATACGCCAGTGTTCTCAATATAACCTAAAAAACAACGAATGTCAAAAATCTAGTGTTCATCCCCAGAATTGAATAAGGATGAAACTATATAACTGTTTCACAAACGTTTTAGAGTGAGAGGAGACGAGGAACTGTCCGTACCCTGTTGAGATGACTTCATCGTCAATTTCCATCAATACAAGGGACCCTAATAGTCACTATAGATGATTTAAGAGGGGTTTAACCCTATGAGCGATCATTGGGGAAACAAGGAACGGCAGAAATCAAAATACTCGAAGCTCGCTAAATAAATTCAAGATTTTTTTCCACGGATAGTTTCTAGAAGGTTGGATCTAGGCATCTCTCGGAGTACTTTTTCAAATTTTTGAAAAAAAATAGTCGAAAAAAATTCCAGAAAATTGACCAGATTCACTATTTTTTTTCTCACTAGGTATATATTTTTTTCGAAAAGTACTTCGAGAGATGCCTCACTTATACATTTATCTTCGTTGTCAAAAAAATTCGCAAGGATCCATTCAAAATATCACCATCAAAAGTGATTTTTGCTGGACCTCTGCAGACGCAATTTTGGATCATTTTTCTTCACTGATACGAGCGCCCTCACACGAATATGCACTTCTACATGGATACTATGAATGATTGAATGAATAGTGAATTCATTCATAAAAAGTAGCACTGAAGCTATTGAGAAAAATTTAGCACTGGAGATGAAACCAAAAGAAGTTTTAGATGGGTTCATTGAATTTTTATATACGACGTATAGGTACGTTTATTAGGTAACCCATATAATAAAAATACGTATGGTTTGCAGGTAGGACACCAATTCCGATAATTTCAAAATGCGAATATAAGGAATGCCAGAAGTTCCATCATATTTATTCTAGGTAATAACTGGTATTATATAATATACGAGTTACATATATTTTAATATTCTTGTCAACATTAAGAATTTGCCTTCTGGAAATAGATAAACAGAGAAATCTCTCATTGAAGAATAATAGTTTCGCTCCAGGTGACTCAACCAATTAGCTGATAAAAGATTGAACATGTTTGGCAAGCGGCAAGCGATGGACATAAAAGCGGTGAGCATAAAAGCGGCGGACATAAAGGGTCCGAAAATCCTGGAATTCGTGTTATACACGGGGGATTGGAATTTTGTTTTTGTTCAGTTTACTTCAGTATTCCGACAGTGACATTTGCGTTTTTCAATATTTGTGCATTATTTGTATGAGCAAAAGTTATAATGCCGAGAAGTAATTATCGAACTGGTAATAAATACCGCAGAAGACAATCTGTCAAAATATACCTCGCAATGATGAATGATGGCAAAATAAAATGTAATCGAAATAGTGGATAGTAGATTCGAAAGGAATATGGAGATTACAAATTGAAGTTGTTCCTGTAATATATACAGGGTGTCTCAGGTTTAGCTCGTCTAACTTTGACTATCGAAAGCAAAAATTGAAATATTACACACGTATTTATTTGTTTTGTCGTGGAGACACTTGTTTTCTTTATACGGGGTGTTCGAGGTCGCATGATTTTTTGGTTTTTATTTTTTATTTTTGTTGAAACCAAACCTAGAGATTTGACATTCGGTAAGCACTTTTCTATCTGTCATATATGAACTGTCCCTATCCTTCTTAGTTTCCTCGTTATTCGAAAAAATGTTACACCTACTATGCATATATAACAATTTTATAACCTAAATGTTTATCTTACATCAAATTATCATTCGAATTGAATATTGAATGGTTCACGTACACGAAAGATATTGAAACAAATGAAAAACACAAAGTGTGGTGAAGAAATAATAATGATTTTTCATTAGCTTCGATCCACCCACTAGCGTCCCAATAAAAAAAAATCTGACGAGTTCCATGTCAGAGAGCTCGAAAAAGAATAACATATCGTTACTCCCATTGGGGGTGACGATAACACCCAGTTTTTTCAATGGATAAGGACTTTTCATATTGCCGATAGAAAAGTGCTCACCGAATTTCAGATCGCTAGGTTTTGTTTCAACTGAGACAGAAATTAAAAACCAAAAATGTATGCGATCCTTAACACCCCGTATAATTAAAACATGTTCCTCCATGACAAAACAGAAAAATACGTATCTAATATTTTGAGTTTTGCTATCGATTGTCAAAGTTAGACGAGTAAAACCTGAGACACCCTGTATATGGCGTTGTTTATTACACAATATAAATTCTGCTTATACAAACCAAAAAATTCCACTCATGTAATAGTTATTTTTCTTCCCCTGTAACAATGCATTTTGATATTCCATTTGCATTTGTCGTCAATCAATAAATTTAATCATGTAAGTATAGGTGAGTGCATGTTATTCGAATAGCAGTATTTTTCTGTAAAAAATTCCCTATCTTGAACTGTTTTTGCTGCCTTTTTATTATTCAGATTCGTACTTTCGAATTATATTTTTGCAGTTGAGTTGATACATACCACTAATCTATGCTCATATAGGGTATACCGGGTATATTTCTTTGAAAACTTCTCACCCCAACAATGCCATTTAACATTTTTGAGGGGCTGGCGGCTGGCATCGAAGGCAAAGGGGATGAAACGAGCAAGGTGATTTTTACGTGAAAACATGTCCTCCTCATAGTTATTAGTGAAGCGGGACACAAGGTGAAAGTAATAAAAAAAAATTTTGGAAGTAGAAAGATATCAGACCCTCACTATCCTATCTAGAAACAATTGACTACTTTTTTCCATGGTACCGAAAAAAGTTATAAACGAACAAA